CTTAAATTTGCCCTTTTGAACAACTTTTCGACAGCAATGCATGCACTCTAGTAAAATTTATTCATCCACCATCTTAATTTTAGTTACAGTTAATTCGAGGACAAGCTCTACCAGATAGAATGAAGATTCTAAGGGATTTGGTACCAGAAACGTTCCGCCCACAAACCCTACATGTGTACTCTTCGTTCGCCATAGCTTGCGTTAGAATTGTCAAATTGAAGACATTTTTAGAAACCATGGTTGCTCTGTTGTTTTCAGTGGTCACTTGGCTGTTACCATGCCAAAGAGTTACGTTGTCACTTGTATTAACAGTACAATTGATTACCAACCATTCTCCAATCAAACGAAAATTATATGTCGGATAGAGGTACCCAAGCATTTTATAGCTGAAATAGAAGCCGATTTTTTGTTATAGGTACAATGATTATAGTCTTAATGAGACTATATACAAGATTAACACGTTGCGAAATGAGATATATATGTAGCCAAGTGATATTTCAAGGGTCCAATGGTACAAGAAATATCAAGACATATATTGTAAGCGGTATATATGACAGATAAAGTTGTGTAAAATTTGTTACTCACAAGTTGAACAATTGCTGGACTCAACTTCTTTCTATATCCTACAGAATATATCCTGTAATTAACTTGCGTACTAATTACTGAATAGGAGTTAATGTACGCACAAAATGGAACATCATGCAGCCATGACCAGGATACTATTGATACCATTGCAGTATCAATAATCATGCACAAGACGTTACTGTATGCTTTCGTTTCCATTTGGAACGCTAAATTTAGTGAGAAGTATAGTTCAGCTGCTATGGTAGTGAGAAACCTACCATATGCAGCTTATACATAGTGCTAGTGTTCATTAATTCGAGAAACAGTTACCCGCAGTAGGCGTGCAAACGAGTTTTAAGTGCATAGTCTTCTGTGTCGAGAATTGAAATTTATAATTCAAAACGAAGAAAGTTTCTTCCCTTATTGGCAGGGAAATTTCTCGTAAATTTTTACAGTTTTAATAAACCAATAATTTTTTCAGCAAATCATGATTTTACGGTTAGTTGGGGTTCCAAGCCTTTCTTAATTTTCAAAAATATATTCGCTTTGTCGGCCATCTTAATTTTCGGCCGTCTTAGTAATTATACGCTATCTTCTTATTGTCAAAAAAACCAAACAGTACTGTACTCTATATATAAATTTTCTATGTGAGTATTTGTGTTTTTTCAAAGATAGCAAGAATGAGTTGATGAAAACTTAGCTTGAATTGAGCAGTTGGAGGATAACAGTGATAATAACAGTGATGATAATAAAGCCAAAAAGAGGAGATTAGATGTGACCAGTGCTGACAATAAGAAACCAAAGAAGAATATAAAGGTTTGAAACATATTACCATTTGGTATATACCGGTACACAATATGGTCTAAATTAAAGAATACCCCTTGCGCCTTAACTTGTGCCCCAGTTAATTCAATAACCTTTGGATTCTTATAAACAGTAGCAATATTCTGTATACAGTATAGCAACATTTTGTTTTTCTAAACACCTAATTTAGAAGAAATTAATGTATTTTTACATATGATATTTCAAATATTTTGTATATCCTGACTGGGTCTGAAAGCCTCACAGAAACAGATTGGTACTACCAACTGAGCAACATGGCCAGATTGATTTAAGACTTTAAAGGGGCAGTTTTAGCAGCACTTTGTGAAACCAAGAAAATATGTACACCACCAAAGTTAGCATCTTTTCCTAAGATTCAAGCCCCTTCGTTGCCTAAGCCATTCCCTAGGTCTGCACAACCTTATTCACTATTGACCATGAACAACAGCAGTTCTCAGAAGAACGGATTGTTATTTTATTAATGTTTCTGTATACAGGAGATAACATTCTCATTTTCCAGTTAATGTTATGTTTTGTAGCCATTCAATTTATATTTGACTGTAAATTATTTATTGTTTGTGATGAACTGCAATTGCTATTAATTGACATCCTTTTTATATTTTTTACAGCTTTTGTCGACATGAAATTTCCTCAAGCAAATGATACAATTATAAAAGCTGTTATTGCACAAGAGTGCAAAGAGTTTAGGCTGTCAATGGAAAGCCGAAGAAAGAATCAGAAAAATCTTAGCAACAATTAAGGACAGTAGGGTGACTAAATAAATTATAGTATTATAATTCATTTTATTTTATATTTATAGATGTATCTTTTACTCTTTAACATAGTCAAATGTTTCACTTCATTTTGTAATATGGTTATTAATATATGTGCGCATTAATTTGCTTCACCCTGTAATAGTGTGTACGAGTGATTTATTTAAGGCATTTTCTGTGCATGATAATTGCATAACAAACAAGATAAGGTGTCATGAAGTAGTTTGTGTGGGTCACATGTGAACTACATGTGATCCACATGTGAAGGTCGAAACTGAGTAACATGTGAATTGCATGTGGTTTCCTTAGATCCACATGTGGTACAACCACATGTGATTCATATGTGAACCACATGTGGTACAACCACATGTGAACCACATGTGATTAAATTGTTCCAATTTTACATGTGAGTCACATGTGATTCCACATGTGGTTTTCACATGTGTTTTTTTCGTAAGGGGTCAGCCGAACAAGTCTCCAGACGGCAGTTTAACTCCCCTCTTATCTATACTTCTTCACATATTTTCGATACGTCAACTTTTATTCTCTTTGGCCAATGGCGTGGCTAAAGTTACGGGTTTGAATAGAATGATCTAGATCACGTATTATTTTTCAGCGATGATATATTTTCCCCGCGCATTAAACATATTACACATTCAGACTGAGCTAAATTAATATAAATTGTCTTGATGTAAATTAATATTCTATATCATTACAGTATCAAGTAGCTTGAGTCTCAAGCACATGTTTATCATTTCAATTGTTCTTGCTTTCTTTATAAAAAAATTTTATTGTAAAAGCGGTTAACCCCGAGCCCACGTTTTGTTCAATATAAAAAGCCTTGAAGCTTGGACGCAAGAATACAAAACAGAGCATGAAATTACTTCAGAATTAGAATATATCGCGGTAAGTGACTAAGTGTTATTTTACAACGTTTCGCTGTAGCCCATCGTCAATGTGAATAGTGCAAAATTTTACCGATAAACTAAGATTTATAAGGACCTTCTTTCTAAGATATTTGATCCAGATTTGACGTGTACTTACTCGTTGTATAGGACGTGTTCATGTCATAGTTTATATACTTTTAATTTTATTTAACTTACTACTGTTATTTTGTATTTTGGGCTGACACCTAGCATGGGACTTCGTCCCGTTCGTGTCCGGCCTTATTTGGTTTTTTATTATCAAATTAAAGTTGTTAAATCAAATACGTTGTCGTTGAAATCAATTCTCTCGTTTTTCCGCTGTGTCTACACCCAACACGACTTGAATTTTCTTCTCATACGAAAATGCAATGAAAAATAATCACGTAGCGTATAATTTATAACACATTAAAGATATTTTGATTTTGAAATGGTTTAGTTTCGTAGGTTTTGACGTAATTATCATCCTGTCACGTATGATTTTCATATTCTATTTCTTCCTGTAGCACGTAGGTGTTGAAATAATTATCGTCCTGTCACGTATGATTTTCATTTCAGTGTTTAGGCTTTTGGACACATCGACGCATGTATATATAGACAAGATCAAATTATAGCTTCTAGCTGAAATCACCCTTTGCTACGGTGAAAAATTTGCAGTGATACTGAAACATTATAAGTTTCTTTCTATGTAACCCTAAAGTAAGAAGTCATGTTTGTCCACGTGGAAAACATCATGAATTTTATCGACCTTTAACAACTGAAAATGTCAGGATAACTCGAGATGCTCAAGTACCTTATCGATAAAGAATATTTTTATGGGAAAGTATATTATTAGCATATTATTGATAATTAGGTACCTTAAATTGCACGTGCCTGCTCGTTGCGGGCGGGCATCGGTAAATAGCCACATTAGATCCGGCTCGTATAGGTCCACATTATAGCCCCGTTTACACCACACTCAATTTATTGGCACGGCACGGCTAAAATGGGTACCCGTGCCCATTTCATCTGTTCTCGGCCTTTGTTTTGGTAGCCTGAACACTATTAAAATTGAGCACGGGTACCAATTTTAGCCGTGCCGTGCCGATAAATTCAGTGTAGTGTAAACGGGGCTTCATTAGTTTTCACGCTACCAAAACAAAGGCCGGGCACGGATAAAATGGGCACGAGTACCCATTTTAGCCGTGCCGTGCCAATAAATCAAATGTAGTGTGAACAGGGCTGATATCTGACTTATAATCGGAACTAAAAACTGAACCACTATGCACCTCACCAGCCTGTATTCCTTCTGATAATTATGTTAAACTGCCTGAAGCGAAACATAAAACGCATGCAATGCCTTCAACCAGGGCACAGGAAGCGTGCAACCCAGACGGGTACAGGTATAGGTTGTAGTAACACATCATATACACATACACCGGCCTATTATGATTATTTCCGAAGATCTGGAGAAATCGATCTGCACCAGCTATCGTGACACCGCGTTAGCAAGTTGCACCGAATTTCAGCATCTTCCTACATCTTTGCTGTATAAAAATATTACGAACGGCCCTATAGCAAACCTGGGCTATTTTTACTGCGAATTGTACCCGATTCTATTCCCTTGCCTTCATGTAAAGCTTTCAGCACACAAACGGTTCTTAGATGTGTATACAACGTCAACAAATAAAAGCAAACTAGGAAAAAAATTCCCTTTGTCGTTTTTCGTTAGTATAAAAGATTAGTTTAGACCAGAAAGTCAGAATATAATGTTCATTTGTCATCAATCAATCAATAAAACTTTATAAAATTACGCTACCCTCGTCATCTGTCGATGGTTTTCGTGAGGGGCGTCACACAATTACAATAGATTAAGAATATACATATGTATACAAGTAATAAAAATAGTACTATAATATAAACGAATAAACATGTAAGTATTAAAGAAGATAAAAAATAGGAATAATCGATGTCTGACTCAGTATAGTTACAATATTTTATCATATTTTAAAGATACCTAAAGATTTTGCTTCCTTGGCCTGCTTTGGTAGACTATTAATACCATAGCGCAGCCCCACTGTAACCAAAACTCTTTTTTAAATTCATATTTGACGAAACACATTTCTCTTAAGCTACGTGAGTTTAAACGTTTCATGTTCCGTAAGAGCAGTTGACGTCTTTACGGTGCCACTTTCATGATAGTATCTCTTGTATAAATATATGCAAACCAAGATCAAAATGATCAAGGATACTATGGCAACAGGAACAACTATTGGAATGACAGATGATACCTTGCTCAAAGTAACTTGAAGTTCTATAGAAACGAAATTAAACTGTATTATTTTTTGGATTTTTAAACAATCATGAGTTGTACTACCTCGAAGTTTATCACATAGAGTTGTAAGTGCTAAATATTTTTTTTATTTTTAGACCTTTTTATGCATATACACCAAAGTAGAAGTAATGCTTTTGTTGATCAGAAGAATTTTCAATTTTTGGCTTCCAATTAATATGATGAATTGTGGCTCCTAATTCCTTGTTTTACTGACGTGCACAGTAAGAGCCATTTTTGCTTTGCAACTACTGAAAAAAATATTTCACATCGTATATTTAAGAGGATGGTAAATTATTTTGGTTTCTTACTTTCAATGTTGAACACGGTCACTTTCTTAGATGCTTTTCCAGCAGCATTTTGTGCTGTGCATCGATACGTCATCTCAGGTTTTAGCAGACGATCAAGTCGTAAGGACGATGTTTTACTTTCAAATTTCCAATCCTTGTCATCGCAATTGCGGGTGTAGCATGAATACCAGGTGTAGTCAATCTCGGGTGGGTTAACTTCGTTCACGGTACAATTTATTAACATTCCTTTCGTAAATATCATTCTCTCCTGCATATTTATTATCACGGGTGCCACTGTGAAGAGATTTATAGTAATAAAAATAGAAATAGAACACGCATATATGAATATGTCCCTGCCCCGCTATGCACTTATCGAGCTAGGGACGCTGCTGACTATAATTATTATTGATTTCGTCAGAATGAGTCTTCACGTATACAATGTATGTTTATTCGAAGCCACCTTGAACATAGACGGTTTTACTTCGTTCCACTATGGAAAAAATATGGTATTTGTGGCGTTTTGTCGACTTTTTTTTCTTTCTGAATAATGTTTCACAATAATGTCCTTTAAACATCAAGTTCTTTTGTTATAATTTGTTTTGTGATAGTTTGTGCCACTGCAATCTTCTGTCATGCATGTTAAAATTACATCTGTGTTTTTATAATCAAATCTTGAAAAAATGAGCAAGAAAATGAAATACAATATATCTTTTATTTACCGTGGACTTGTAGTTGAAACATTTTTGAATCATTTCCATATGCGTTACTTGCGTTGCATTTGTAAAAGAGATTGTGCTGAGGAAATTCAAGATCCTTTATCTTAAAACTTTTCTTTGTTATATTATGATTCGCCTCGTAAACTTCGCAACTTCCTAACGGCAAACATTGGGCTATAACTTCCCACATCTCCCCATCTTCAGATTTCCACCAGTAAATATCAGAAGCTGGATAGGATAACACTTCGTACGATAGAGAGAAAGTTTCTCCTTTTTTCTGACGAAAGACAGTGCGCGCATCATCTATGCGAACTACTGAAGCCTGTGGGGCTATAAAATATTATTTTAATTAGTTTTAATTTTGTCGTTCTAGCTATAGATCTAAAAGCGTTTAAATATATCACGTTTCTTTTTCAAAATCCATACTATTCAGATATGCTATACCCATACTGTTTCCTCAATCCTCACTATATGGATATGATAAACTTCTATAATATTTCTAACTAGCAGTCATATACTACAATTACTAGAGTATTTCCATAATATAGACTTTGAAAAAAAAAAGAGATATTGCGAATATTCAGGTCGAAACTGCATGAAATGGTAACGGAATAGAAAGAGAACTTCATAAACTAATTTTTCGAGATAAAGCTCTTTCTTCTGCCGATAATAACACACATATATATATAGCTATATATAGCACTACCGGCCTTTTGAGACCGAGGGCACTCGGACCGAAGCTGCCGGTAAATAACGTGTTTATTTTTTAACCCTGACTTTATTGACTTTATGAAACACAAAAAATACAACAAATTTAATAAATAAACTATAAAACTATAAACTCAAGCCATTTTAGAATTTAAATACGTCAACAAGATAATTTGGCAAATATTGTCTAAAATTATACCATAGCAACTAAATCACGGCAAATCGATTAAAATAACAACGTATTGACAGGGGAAAAAGGCGTAAAAAATCCAAACTAAGAAGTTTTCTGGTATGTTTTTTATTTTTAACATTCTTTTAGCCTTTGAGAGGTTTTCACCGCACGTTGGTTTGGTTTTGCGGTTTTGTTCAAATTTTCCACAGCGGTTCGATTGCATTTCACAGCGGGCCGGTTTTTCTCAACAGGCCCGCTGTGAAACGCTCTTCTTGCTTCACTCACACAGTTAAACAATATTTAATTGTTTGTTAGAGATGTTCATTGAACATTCCAAATGTTGGACAGAAATAGAAAATTATAAAACCTTACCTTTCACAGATATATTCACGGCCATATGGGTTATATAACGCACAGCAAAACGACTTAATTCACATTCATATGTCCCCGTGTCACTTTCGGATAATGAATTTAGGCGCAATTTCCTGTCTTCTTTAATTATTCTGCTGGACCCGACTTTTCTCCATTTAAATCTATACTTGTTGGAGGCTTCTTCAACATGACATTGCAACTCAACACTGCCTCCAATATCATATATGGAATAATCCGGGTGTTTCCTTATTACTGGAACCGCGTAAGCCTTTGGTTCTAAAAACGGTAAATGTTTAATCACTTCCACTGTGACATCAATATATTGACCAACTAAAATATTTATAAGAGGCGACTAAAAATTTTCTTTACTATTTGCATAAGCATTTGGTTCTAAAAATAGTAAAACCGTATTATATTCTGTTCAGCCACAACTATATAGGCTATTGAAACATTCTAAAACTAAAACTAAATGTTAAGGACATTGTTTATGTTTCTTTGCGTGGGCGGATTTAATTAGCCTCTGTTTTCGCATAAAGCGTATATAGTATTTTGTTATATAGGTTCTGTGTAAACTCACTAAGTCCCTCGGAAGCATACATTAAGTGTATAATATACACCCCCATGTATACACCCCTGTATATATACACCCCTGTATATATTGTATACACCCATAAGAGTCGGTTCAATGACAAGCCTTACCTGATAGAAGGAAGATTCTGAGAGATTTGGTACCACAAGCGTTGCGCCCACAAGCCCTACATGTGTACTCCTCGTTCGCCATGGCTTGCGTTAGATTTGTCAAGTTGAAGACATTTCTCGAAACCATGGTTACTCTGTTGTTGTCGGTATTCATTTGGCTGTTACCATGCCAAAGAGTTACGTTGTCACTTGTATTAACAGAACAATCGATTACCAACCACTCTCCAATCAAACGAATTTTATAGAAAGGAAGGTCTTTCAGGCATTTTATAGCTAAAATAGAAAACAGATCTTTATCAATTGCAAACGTAAACGCAGCGGAAAAAGAGCTACCCATGCAAGCGAATGGTAAAATTGCTATCACATCCTGGAATGAATAATCCATGTGATAATGTTACATAATACGTATTTAGGGGAAATCTAAAAAATATATATTTCATCGAAGTTCATGATTCCCCAGTCAATCCCTTTAAATAAACTTTGAGGTGACCAAGAAAGTTCGTTATGTCAGGGGGGGGGGAGAGATACTCATATGCCTTCGCCAAATATTTCGGCCAATGAGTCCGCAATATTTATATACGTTGCTCTTTGATGGATGCACCAATGAACACAACAATCTTGCAATATAAACTTATAGTTATAGTTATAGAAATAAAAACGTTAAAATATGATGAAAACGTTGAAATAAATTATGATGAATGCTAAGGATCAACGACAGAAATGCTAACGATTTGCCTTTTGGCAAAAAAGAGTACAAATTTATCAATACTTCTTGATATATAGCCAAAATATGACCAGGGAATTCGAAGAATAACCGTTTCCTTCAAGCAACTAAAATCTGTTTATTTTCGCCTTATTATCTTGTAACGTAATAAGCTGGCGATTTTTAAGCTAATTTTCTCTCGCCTCTGAGCCCTCTCCCACACTTATGCTGAACAACAATAACTTAATGCTATTCATAGATGTAGCACTGACTGTATGCATCTTAATCGGAGTTAAATAGTAAATCAAAACCATGCAGGTTTATATACCTGAAGGGATGGCTTTTTTATTAAAGTTATCTGGCAATCATCCAATTTCTATTTAATGGGCGTTGGATTATTTTTACTTGTGAAATCTTCAACTCATTGAATTTGAGCGTAAGTGAGCTTTTACAATACAGGCATTAGAGTCAATTGTCTAAATATTCAAAAATATTTAACGCTTTGCATGTACGTAAAGATTGAATTGTCCTATTGAATTTAACCATGGTTTAATTTTTTTGAAGCCTTAAAGATTGAAATTAATTGCAGTTATTCAAGCTGGAAGAGTAACAAAATACGAGTTTATATTATTATTGTAACAGAAAACGGGAAAAGTTTACCTCAGTGTTATGTGAGTATGTTTTTGTATACTTTTTATAAAGCAAAATTGAACGGCCAATGTTTACACTAGCCGGCTTTATGATTATTTTCGTAGCTAATGATGGTAAATATACTTGGTAAAATAATTATAATATAGACTGATTTGAGTTCTGTGTCATTTCATAATTAAAGTTTAGGTCAGGTTAGCTAAGGGAATTGAAATAGCGAGGGTTGCTGCATGCATGCATGTGTTTCTAGTTCATTACTCACTTCTCGAGCAATTACTGGTTTCAACTTTTAGTATCAATGTGGAGAGGAACACAGCTGTAAACGTGGTAAACTCTGTAAACTTCATCTTTTCAATATCCTGCAGAATAGATCATAAGTTAATCAGTTTACTGAACATCACGTAGGGTGAAGTTCGGAAGAGACGAATGTTAAATCATCCTCAACTGACGCAATGCTGCAGCTACCGGAGGGGGTTTAGGGTAACGCTCCCCCCCCCGAAACATTTCTTCGCCCCGAATTGCCCCCCCCCCTGCGATTTTTTTATCTTGCGCCGCCACCGAACCACGGATATTTGTTTAAAGGAAAAAAAAACACTGTATTTATTTGTTAATTTATTTAGCCGCCCGTAAAATTTCGCCATTCACACGATTCCTAGAGGTGTAAGAACGCAGGTTCAATGCGATGTTTGATTTCACTACATTTTTTAGGATACCTACCTGATTTATTCAACATTATTCAACAAACGCCCACAAAACCTAATGTTCACGAGTGATTTCTAGCTAGCTCTGCGGATATATAATTATAGCTCTCGTGTACAAGAGGCTCTGTTATAATTGGCCGCTTAAGGTGGAATTAAGTCCGTATGTGAACAAAGGCGGTTTGTTTACATTTGAACTTTTTAACGGGTACAATGGCTATGTTAATATCCATACAGACCATACTCTTTATAGTTTATAGCCCGCTTCTAAATAAACATATCTTAGAGTTTAGGTATGTGCTTAAAATTGTAAACATGCGAAGTTTGGGCAAATTTTTATAGAGATAGCCCTGCATTGCTAGGAGAACCGTTGCGCAGAACGATCTTAACTTCATATTTAAGGCTTCTGTTGTTACTGAAATATCATTGTTGACAAGGAACTTTGAATTTGAATGATTAATCCGTGTAATTTTGCATTCTGCCGAAACCTCATTATCCATTGCTGTAAATGACCTTGTACATAAAACAGAAAATAGTAAAATACACGGCCGCGGCGCAAGCTATATAATTATATGCATGTTTCGAATTTTGAAACGACGACGCGATGTAAAGTTCGAAGAAACAAATTCGGGGATATATTCTACAGACAACAATTTAATAGTCTTGACCAAGTAACATATAAATGAATAAACTTACAAAAACCGCAGTCCCGCTTTGTCGAGGCGAACGATGCATAAACCGAGATGTTCGAACAGCTGGATGTGTTATTTGAAACCACGAATTTTACAACTTATAATTATTATTACAATTTTTTTCGACGAATGACGTAACCAACTGGGCGAAAAACATGATTGTGCAAACCTTTAGCCACCTGTCTCAAATCGAAACTAGTTATACCGCGTTATATAACTAACCACAATTAACCAAAAAAGTCCTTGTTATTGTTCAATCGAACTGAAAGCCGCTACAATAATCGTGCGCGGATCGAAAAGGAAAATTCCGTCGGTCGTTGAAAGCACATGTAAGCCGCTTCCACTTTAGCTTATTAGGCAAGCAGGTTTAGCGAGAAAATAGCATGTTGAAGGACAGGCAGTATAATGGAGACGTTAGTATGTTTCTACTGGAAAAAATGAATTGTATATAATTTATTATAAAAAAGAAAAAATCAAGATATTTCAACGTAATTGATACGTTTGCGGTGAAGTTATATATATAGGCTATGTATATTTGTTGTGATTTTTGGCAATTCACTCGATGCATGCGAATTGTACGGGTTTTAATGGGTCTTAATTTCGAGTGGAATTATACACACTTCAAATTCAAGCCAGGAACAGTTCAGTGAAGGAAAAATGAGTCAACTATCGGTCCTCCGGCACCTACGCTTTTGCGATGCCGGTGCAATGTCCTTGCCAATGACTTGAGCACCCTTGGTGAATGTGTATAAGTGGGTAAACCCGGGAATAGGTGAGGATAAATGAAAGGTGATTTATTGGTTCGATTCCTGCCAGAGAACCGATAATCGACTAATTTTTCCTTTTACTTTTTCTGGCTTGAATTTGAAGTGTGTATGATTCTACTTGAAATTAAGACCCTTAGAAAAAAAAATATATAGAGGGTGTACAACATTTATGTGTATGTAATGCCTGATCGTAGACATTGAAATTCCAACAATCCAAATGTTATATCATTATTCAAGCCATTCTTTAAAAGTTATAATGAATGGAAATAATTAGGATCATCTTTAATATTCTTATACCAACAAATATATATATATATATATATATATATATATATATATATTAATATACAATGATATAATGATATAATGATATAACAATTAGAATGTGTATGATCACGCATTATTATTTAATCTGTATAAATTATACGCATAAATATTGTAAATAAATAATAAATAAATAATAAATTTGAGGCCTAAAAATGATGCAAAATCGTACAACTCGAAACTTTTGAATCAAATGAAGAATGTCTGGCACCGTTCTGTTGCGAATAGATGTAGCTAGTTGGTTTAATTTTTACGAACTTACATCCACTGCGGAAAAAAGTAGCTACTAAATATGATATAGGTTTTTACCCATTTAATATATTTTCATCTCTGTTGCCTATGCATGCATGGCTATAGTAAGCTATGCTTAAACTTTAGTCGTTTCAGATTTCCACACTGAAAAACTTAAATTTCCTTTAAGATTTAACCGGTTATTCAACACAAATACTTACAGTTTTTGCTTTTCAAATGAAGTTTTTCACATTTAATTGCAAATGTATCGTCGTCTTTATGTATTCACAAATGATTGCCGTTCATCGCTTTGAAGCCGGGATAACACAATATGATGGTATATTTATATATGCATTCATTAAATTTATATCTATCCAGCTTTCACACAACCGAAGCCTGAGAACTTTATTTTGCGGCATGCAAATACATTTTTGCGGGTTTCGCCGGATTAGGGCGAGGCTGAATTAGTCTATAGCCATGTTCACACCACATCTATTTGCATGGCACGACTAATATGGGCATCCGCCTCCATTTCATCCGTGCCCGGTCTTTGTTTGGTAACATAAAACACTAAAGCCCCGTTTAAACTATACTCAATTTATTGGCACGGCCGATATGGCTGAAATGGGTATATACCCGTGTCCAATTTTAGTAGTGCTCAGGCTACCAAAACAAATGCCGGGCGCGGATGAAAAAGCCACGGGTACCGTGCCGTTCTGATAGTAATATTCACCGAAGGCGTTAAACGAACGTAAATTCAGTTATGTAACGAAGTTGAATTCTGATTCACAGCATTTGTATAATATATGTAAATGTTCATATGCGCATATCGTTTATCGTTTAACTTCCTGTGAGATATCGATTTGTTATCGCTACATGTACAGCCTAGTAATATCATTTGATTCACGATCAGATTTAAGAATTCCAAAATATTCAGTATACTTTCGAGAATAGAAATATTTTCGTAATATATCCAAGCAAGTACTTTGGTTTAAAACTGGCCGGGGTACATTCGCACAGAGCCAGTGGCGTAGCCAGCCCGGCAATTTAGTCATGCTATGCTAATATTTTGGTGATCATTGACTGTGAAAACAATGAGTTTCTAAAGAAATGAATAATGATAATAACATAAAATTTGCATAGCATGACTAAATCGTCAGGCTGGCTACGCCACTGCGGCAGAGCTATACATGCACGACGATCTTAGAGAGTTAGTGAGTAAGCTAATGTATATACCGTTTCCCGAGTTGTGAAATATACTGAAATACCACGGGCACAGGTCCAGAGTTATAACATATCATGCAAGCAAATTCCATGTTCGTTCCGTACGTACGTAAGCAAGCAAACGTTCAGTTCTCCAAGCTGGCAACTTGCGTGCGAATAGATTAAACCGGACGTTATTAAACGTTTGTCCAATAAGAGCTTGCTATTCTCAGTGGCGTAGCCAGCCTGACGATTTAGTCATGCTATGCAAATTTTATGTTATTATCATTATTCATTTCTTTAGAAATTCATTGTTTTCACAGTCGATGAACACCAAAATATTAGCATAGCATGACTAAATTGTCGGGCTGGCTACGCCACTGGCTATTCTACGGATTTAGCGTTGTTGGCCGATGGGAAACTGTGTTTTAACGATTGTTTCCTTCAGTAATGAGACTTTGCGTTCGTTTAACGCCTTCGCTGTGAATGTTAAATGCATGGTATGCAAACAAACCAGCTTTTCATAAATTCAAGGAAAACATTAGCACGCATACTTGTATATTCGTTCGTTCTCGTTCTACGGTGCTGGTTAAGCCTGATTCTCATATTATGTCACCGACGGTGGGCAGTGTCTATTGTCGGTGATCACTTTTTTTCTTCGTTAACGACCACAAACAATACAGGGTGAGTCCAAAAAAATTGAAATTCAAATTAGCCGCATAGCGGCTTTAATGTGACAGAAGTTGCCTAAAATATTTCATGGGTATACGAAGCATATCATATTAATTAACCTAAAACATAAAGTTTGTTCCCATTGGAGTTAAAATGCATTCTAAGCTCTGTAAATACAAAAGAACAGTTTTATCAAATCGTTTTTGTTGATTGTATGTACATGGGAATTGTCATATTCCAGCCATAAGTTCACAGCTAATTTGAGTTTCAAAGGTGTCAGTTTATTTACTCATGCACTCTGTACAACACCGACCGTCGGTGACATATGAGAATCAGGCTTTAACTAATACAAGCAAAGATGAATCTACTGGGTCCCACGTACAAACTCGTATTCGAAAAAACACCTCGCATTTTTCTGAAACTAGAATCCGGTGTAACAACTGGGAATCCTATAGCACTCAACAGAGTACGCACAGAAAGTCCGCAATAACCTTCCGGGGCCGGTTGTATAAAACTCTTAACTACGTTTAACTACTTTTTAACCACCCAACTGTAGCTAAAACGTAGTTAACTTTAATCACGAAGTTAAGCCAGTTGTATAAAAACGTAGTTAGCGTTAACTACTGTAGTTAAAATCTAGTTAAAGTTAACTATCCTCAATTAAGGGTATCGTTAACTTTTCAAAACATAGTTAAAAATGGCGTCTTGATTCTTGAGCTTTTCAAGAGTAAGAAAACATTAAAATCAACACATACCAAGGTTGTCAAACGTTATCCACTCAGAAAGGGCCCCGTCGAAGCTTGTAAACTTTCAATATGCCTTTATTTATTTGGGCAGCAAAGGAGTATATTTTTGCTTCGGGAGACGTGTCGATGCCAAATTACAATCCTAGCAAAGATTAGCCATCTCCATCTTCAATTGCAACCGGTATTTTGACTCAAAGAGACCTTTTTATATTAAGAGCGCCGTTTCGTTGAATTATTTTGAACTTTTCCCTTGTTTTATTGCATTTTTAACAATATTTTAGATCAAAATACTCTCAATTTTTGTAAATACGAGGCCACAGTCTTGTTCAAAATCAATAATAGCGGTGAATAATTTTGAAATACTCCATGCTATTTCTCTGTTTAACAACCCCACGCAAGCTCCACGCAAGTTAACTACGTGATTAGTTAATCATCCGACTAACTACGTTTTGTGCAACGCAGTTAAGTCGTGTAGTTACTGTAACTAATCATAGTTAAGAATTTAACTACAGTGATTGGCGCTAATCATAGTTAAAGTTAACTATATACAACCGGCCCCAGAATGTTAGGCAGCTAGCTAGAGAGCACTTAGATAAGGTAAGGTCAACCAATAATAACAAGAAGCCGTATGCAATAGGTCAGACCGTTTGGTGAAACGCCGAAGCGAATAGGGAAGACCTATCGCGTGCGTTTGAACGAAGAAAAAGTTATGGTAGTTCATCAACCTTAAGACAAGCTATATACCATGGTTATCAACTTTGGCAAAACATACGTCCTCCCGAACGTTATGCTTACAATTAAGTAAAAATCATTGATGTGTAAAAATATGTAAAAATACGTGTTATCGGGGAAGAAAACTTAAGTGAGGGGAGCATGTAACAGTACACCAATATAAGTACATTGTAATTAGATGACAAGGATGAAAACGACACTTATAGAAACTGGATTCAACATGTGTGTGTCTCGTATAATCAAGCAGCTCGATCCGAGTACAAACATGCAGGGTTGCCAGATTTATGAAAAAAGAAGCCAAACATTGTTTTGGTTGGCCTTTGATTTCATTGTTTGAAACAAAGACAACAAAGATTAGGGTAATAATATTTGTCTATTTATTGAGTAATCTATAGCAACCCTGGTTACAAATGCAGTACGCCACAAGCACAAACGAACAACTATTTGTGTGGAATGAATTAGGGAAAACATTGAATGGTATGGCCATAGCTTTTTAAAAAGTTAAATCAGTTAATTCATGTAATATGAACAGAAAACCATTCATTTGTAAAATCGGGTTGCTTCTGATCCATCATCACGATTAATTACTTTGTCTTTGGCGAATAAATTGCTTTATTAATCAAAGACAAAGTAAGACTTTGACGAATAAAACCGTTTTTGTAAAATTTAATTCCCGTGCATATTAAAGAATGATTTGTCGTACTGTATTTGGGGACATTTTTTGGGACACCCTGTACATCCCACGATAAGGCATTGCATCAATGTTATATAAGAAATGAATTGATATACAGGGTGTATAAAAAAAATTCGAATCAAAATTTGGCGTGTAATGATGCAAAATATATTTAAAAATATGGTTGATTTTTACACCATTGTCGATATAAGAACGGTATAATCCCAAACTAAATAAGCCAATCTTTGTTGACATATAAAGATTATATCGTTTACTTTAGTATTTTATACACAGCAGCTTGTGAAAGTTGGATACGAATCATACACACTGTATTTCTTCCAGTTTTTAAGAAACATTTGATTTAAGTTTGTCGGAAAATTATCTTTGCCCTCCCGCTCCTTTGTTATAGACCTTATACCCACAAAACATAAAAATCTTTTGTCAGTTAGATTGTGTTCTAAATAACCCATATCCACATGAAAAGAAACAAATTTAACAATTCAGATACGTCACCTAGCTCATTTCTTGAATTTCTCGATCTTGTTCCGCCTGTCTTGTAGTAAACTCCTTATCGAACGTGTTCCGCGTCCACTCAAATTTGTACTGCCTTATTTTGTCGATGCGGATGGCAGAACCGAAACTAGAACGATAATTGTGGGTGTGTTTATTCATATATATTCAGTTCTGCCCGACGGATGTCTTTTGTGAGTGCAATAGCTTAAAAAGAAATCTCTGGTTCGTCAGTACTGAGTACTACGTGAGTAAATTTACACACACACCCCCCGCATGTGACCTTGAACAATTGGCCTTTCATTATCCCCCGCATTTCCGTTTAAAAAAGAGGACTAATACTTTCATATTACCCGAAGAAGATTAAAATAAGCTGATAGGAATTCGAAAGAACTATACCGATACTCATGCCATATATTCAATTCTGGCGGACAGATTTCTGTTTTAAGTGAATGGAATGGCTTACAAACGAAACCCGTCAGGGTGGAACTGAATATATGAATAAAGAACCTTGTATCTTTTCAGTTTTGCCCTGTTGAAATTGTGAGAATATAGTCTCTACAAATATATCTTCCCGTATATGGTAGGTTTTTTGTTGATACTTGATATAATAATCGTCCGGTCACGTTTTTACTACTAAAGTGGAGGGGATAGTCTTAAGCAGATTAATTTAATTTAGAAGTGAAATGAAGTGATCGAAACACGATGGGAAAAGTTGTAAAATGAACCACAGGAACGCAGTTTTATACGTTCCTGTGCTTCCCAGTTTATTACGACAATTAACGTTATCTCACGAATTTAAAAATCTTTCACAGTTCTAAAGACTCTCTTTATCACTCTTTATCCCGTGTGAACCGCGAATGGTGAGTCTTTTAAACCCTCACTCACAGTTCCCAACCCCAATTATTGCGGCGAATAAATTTCCATAACTCGAATTGAAGTAATGAAGTTAGCTAATAATTTCACCCTAACAAGGCATGCATATAATCCATTGCAAGGAACCACTTCCATAATCCACCGCTAGATAACAAGAAGGAATTAAAATTAATTACCACAGCTAAAAACATAAATGTGACCCTCCACGGGAAAACATACATTAACGGTTTGAAAAAACGGGCTGAAATACCGTTTGCTATCCGTTTTCTATCCGTGAAAATCAAAAACGGTTGCCGTTTAAAAATTTTAAACGCTAAGCGTTTAAACGGTTTGTTCAAAACGTGAAAACGTTTTCATCGATCCGGGAAAAGGTTTTGACCGATCCGTGAAAACATTTTGGTAGAGCTGTAAAAACGTTTTGCTTTGGCCGTAAAAACGTTTTGGTAAAACCGTGAAAACGTTTTGGTAGAGCCGTGATGATTTGCCAACGCCCTTGATGATTTGCCAACTTGCACTGCCAGAAACCCATCACCTGGGTCAACATGCAGGCCCCAAAATGCTTTTTCGCAATTATAAATGTACCTATTTCTATAGTGCGTGTGAGAAGACATATAGTTTAAAATTTATTACAGCAATTAAATTCTATACACATAGTAAGCAACATATCTGAGATGCAAATATAATTCAACTAATTATAACGAGAGATATCTGGTATTTGTTATGCAAATACTTATATAGATATAATAAATACGCACATTCTCGTATATACATTAAGTAATTTGGCATGACCAAACTACTTTCGCGTTTATACCCATGCATTTCACGATCCATTTTGGCAAAAACAACTAATTAATGCGTTAAAAGATCGTGTGCGAGTTTCCTGTTATATTATATCAACTTTTATATACGCTATACAGGGTGTCCCAAAAAAAAGTCCCCGCTATTGAAATGAAGCTTTTGTTGGAATTTGAATGCATGATCAACGCAGTAGTGTGTAAATAGCATATTTATTAGGTTGAGGCATTCAAATAAAGCGTCTTGCTTTCAACTGGGTTTATCATAATATTAAGGCAATCAGATTCGAACAAAGGCTTGATTTCAATAGAGGGGACATTTTTTTGGGACACCCTGTATTACACTCTTTCACAATAGCTATTTTCAACAAAGTGCATTTAACCAATTTTCGCCAGTGCGTGTCGAAGTTTGAAAATGGGTTGGTAGAAAATCACCATCGGTATGCTATATATAAACTCGCCGTTTCTCTGCCATATCGATCGCTTTTTAGACTATAGTTATATATTCTTTTTATTTTGAGTTTTTTATTTTCAATTTTTTACTTAAAATTGACGCAATATTTATGTATGTTATTGAAAAGATTTGACCTGTGGGAAAAATATGAGCTCTATGTCAAATCTTATTTAACTAAAAATTCTTGGTGGTCACAAAATATCTCTAAATATTTCATAATGAAATACTTTATCTCCTTCCATATTTTAGAGCATCTGCCAAAACTTTAACAGTAGAATATAGGCTATATAGCTAGCATGTTATCTGAATAATATTATACGCTATCTGCACTACACTGCATGAAAAAAAGTTAGTTTTTGTTAGTTGAATATGGGGTCGAAGGCCTGCGTTCCATAATCCAAACGTCAAGATTTCCGCCCTGAAAAGCAACTTAATACTCCATCCCGGCGCAAAGGTGCACAATTTTTTACATGTACTGCCCTTATAAAAACAGCGGAAACTGTCAAAAACGCGCACAATTTTTTCTGCAAAGCATATAGCAGTGCAGTCGCCCATATAGACACGACAATCCCAAACGCACGCACACGGGAGTTTATACTCACCATTATAACAAAAAATTAACCCACATCATCTTCGAGACAATTTTACCAATTGGGCTTGTGCCAGTGTGCGCAAGGACTGCACAAACTTGGTAAAAACATAGCGCTAAAATTTTACCACGTAAAACACGCAATTTGTAGACCGTGTCTTTCATTGCTTATGCTATAGTTTAATATCCAGAAAGCTTATATATATAGTTGAATGGTATAATATCAATTATAATTTCTGGTTTGTTATATTTGTCACATGATCCTGATTATTTTGAACAGATAGTATGGCTTGTGTTTTGTGCCTATCAAAGTTTAGCTACGCTAAATTTCAGTGAGCAATATTATAATGTTCATTGGGCGACTTTCTTGTGGTTCTATTTTTTTCATTACTTGCATACAATCTCTATCATTAGTACAATTTGAGCTTTTTCGCGTTCCACGTTTCAGATTCGAGGAGCTAGTCGAGGGAAATCAAATTATATAACCAAACATAAGATACCTGATTATACATGTGCTTCAGTGCTTGGTGCATGCATCTGACTTTGCCGAAAGTTGCGAAGTGTTTTATTCGGATCGCCCTCGGCCGGTGAACGTCGGCGTCCACGATCAAGCGCTTCAAAAGATCTATGTCTATTGTTGATACAATTATTGCGATGTAGTTTAATAGTTATTTACATTTATTCCATTGTTAACACAACTATATAAGGGTTTTAATCATTGCATACTATAGATATGCAGTTATTAATTTTGCTACTATTATCAGGTTGCTTCGTATCTATCCCAATGACCACACAACAACTATGCAATCAGTCTATACGTAATGCTGTTTTAATGTATATATGGCTAGAGACGTTGCATGTTTGTGCGCGCGTTGAACTTTGGCTTTATGGAAACAGCAAAAGTACTAAAGCATGGATTCTAACCATTGCATCACCGCGGCATTCAAAAAACAATAAATTTTTGAAAGAAATCTTTTTCAGTTTATGACTTGAAATTTGACCTTAATGACATAATTGCATGCACTGAACGCTAACAGAAATCTTGAAGCGCACGAAATATCATTCGATTCGGCGAAAATGATATAACCGGCTTTACAAGCCTTCTGTTAAGGAACTGAATACGTTTCCAGGAATATTATGTGTTACACATTCGTCGCTTCTTCTATAAAGTTTAGTTGTAACATTGCAAATGTTTAATCTTATTAATCTAATCGGTCCAGAAAAGGTAGCAAGCTTTTTGATAAAAATATCTTTATAGTGGTTAGTACATTGTGTTGTGGCCGGAATAACCCAAGTTCGAATCTTCGTCACGCCAATAACACTTCTACTCAAAAGTCTTTTTGAAAGTGCATTTTAATAAAACTGTTTGAAAAAAACATTTCAATATTAAAAAAGTACGATTCTAAACAGAAGCCATGTCATCAACTGTATAAAAGTACGCTGAAGTGTTTTTAATGTGTAATTTCTTTAAAGTGTATAATCTCTTCTTACAAGGTTAGATCATTACGACTCTGGTCAAAGTTCAAGTGATTATCGGTTTTTTTTAGCCTAAAAGAACTGCAGTTTCTGTGACGCAATCGGTTAGCGCGTTCGGCTGTTAACCGAAAGGTTGATGGTTCGAATCCATCCAGAAACGTTATCTTCAATTTATCAAAATATTTCCATATTAAAAAGCGCACGCTTCGGAACAAAAGCCATGTCATCAACTGTATATAAAAATACTTTGAAGTGTTTTTATTATTTTTACACGATTACGGGCTGTCTTTAGAAAATATTTTGTCATCGCTTTTTCGTAACTTGCGGTGATCGTACAGTGGTCAGTACATTGCGTTGTGGCCGCAATAACCCAGGTTCGAATCCTGGTCCCGGCAATAAGTTAACACCTGTATAATCAAAATTTTTTTTGAAAGTGAATTTATATTGAAACTGTTGGGGCAAGAGCACTCTCCATCAATTAGGGAGTAACCTCTTCTTATAAGATTAGTTTATTACACCTCTTGTGAATGTGCAAGTCATTTTTTTAAGCCTAAAAAATCTGCAGTTTCTGTCGCGCAATCGGTTAGCGAAGTCGGCTGTTAACCGAAAGGTTGATAGTTCGAATCCATCCGGAAAAGGTAACTAACTTTTTGATAAAAATATCTTTATAGTGGTTAGTACATTGCGTTTTGGCCGGAATAACCCAACGGTTCGAATCTTCGTCACGGCAATAACACTTCTACTCAAAAGTCTTTTTGAAAGTGCATTTTAATAAAACTGTTTGAAAAAAAACATTTCAATATTAAAAAAGTACGATTCTAAACAGAAGCCATGTCATCAACTGTATAAAAGTACGCTGAAGTGTTTTTAATGTGTAATTTCTTTAAAGTGTATAATCTCTTCTTACAAGGTTAGTTCATTACGACTCTGGTCAAAGTTTAAGTCATTATCGATTTTTTAACCTAAAAGAACTGCATGCAGTTTCTGTGGCGCAATCGGTTAGCGCGTTCGGCTGTTAATCGAAAGGTCGATGGTTCGAATTCATCCAGAAACGTTATCTTCAATTTTTATAAAAATATTTCCATCTTAAAAAACGCACGCTTCTGAACAAAAGCCATGTCATCAACTGTATAAATATACTTCGAAGTGTTTTTAATAATTTTTACACGATTACGGGCTATGTTTAGCAAATATTTTCTCATCGCTTTTCCGTAACCTGCTGTGATCGTATAGTGGTCAGTACATTGCGTTGTGGCCGCAATAACCCAGGTTCGAATCCTGGTCACGGCAATATCACCTGTAATCAAAAGTTTTTTTGAAAGTGCATTTATATTAAAACTGTTGGGGCAAGAACACTCTCCATCAATTAGGGAGTAACGTCTTCTTATAAGATTAGTGTAATATACATAACTTCTATCTATAGATAATTAAGCTTGGACAATAGAATTAGAACTGATGGACAGTTAGGGACAGACAATAATATAGAAAGTGTATGAGAGCGAGAAAAAGTCAGAGCACATGAAAAGTAGCTAATATATATAATATAGAGAAACAAAATATACAGTTATACAAATCGGAGCAAGGAGTGAGATCATTATATTGATGACGAGAATGGCTGAAGGACAAGCCAAGCCACAAGAAAATATCACAGTAAATACGCAATCGGTTTCACTACAACCATTGCCAGAGTTTAATCCAGACCCCGATGTTGGCGAAAGCTTAGGCACGCGCTGGAACATTTGGATCCAAGATTTCGAGATGTTCATCCCCGCTAGTAGGATTACGGATGAGAAAAGAAAACGCGCATTGCTATTATATCAAGCTGGCAAACGGGTTCGCGAGATATTTAGACAAATACCTGATACGGGAGAAGCAACTGATTACGAAGCCGCGAAAACAAAGCTTCACGAATACTTCCAACCGCAAGAAAATCGCCGATACGCAGTTTACCGCTTTAGACAAGCGAAACAAGAACCGAACGAAACCCTTGATCAATTCCATACACGACTACGGACATTAGCACAGACTTGTTCTTTCCACAACGCAGATTTCGAAATCGAACAACAAATTATTACGGCAGGTTCATCTTCACGGATTCGAAAAAAGGCATTAAGAGACCCAACATATGATTTGAAGTTAATACTCATCGATGGTCGCCGTGCCGAGATGAGTACATTTCAAGCGCGAGACATCGAATCAAAAGACACAAATACAGATCGTGTTAACAAAGTATCATCGAAAACAACATCGAAAACGTGTCACAATTGCGGTGGTACGTATCCTCATGAAGGACAATGCCCAGCTAAAGATAAAGAATGTCGGAAATGTCAAAAGCTCAACCATTTTGCTCGAGTGTGTCGAGGAAAGATGCAACGTCAGACAAAAGCTTTTCAACATGAAATGAAACCGAAACAGAAATACAAATCGTTCAAAGCTACCGTAGACACAGGCGCAACGATCAATGTCATCGACCGAGGTACATAAAAAATTATGAGAAAATACCAGGAATAGAATTAAAGAAAACGAACACAAAAGCGTTTGCGTATACTGCTAGCAAGCCAGTAAAGTTCATTGGCAAGTTTGAGGAAGCTATTGAGACTCGCCGTCGAGTTGCAGTGGCAACTTTTTACGTCGCAGAAACGACAGACAGCGGAAATCTAATATCAGCAACAACGGCAGAGGAACTTGGCCTGGTAAGTTTTCATCTTAACAAAGTAACTGAAACAAAAGATCGTGAACTCCAAAATATTCTAAATAAACATTCAAAAGTTTTCCACGGGTTGGGTAAACTCAAGCAAGAGAAAATCAAATTAAACGTTGATAAAACAACAACACCCCGAGCACAGCCACAACGCCGAATTCCCTATCACATACGTCAGAAGGTCCAGAACGCGATAGAACAACTAGAGAAAGACGATATTATTGAACGGGTACCAGAAAACCAACCTACACCTTGGGTGTCGCCAATTGTAGCAGTACCGAAAAAGAACGGGGATGTTCGTATATGCGTCGATATGCGCGCTGCCAACGAAGCTATAAAACGGGTACGACACCCTATTCCAACAGTTGAGGACATCAGCTTTGAGTTAAATGGAGCAACGTGTTTTTCCAAATTAGACCTTACACAGGCCTATCATCAGCTAGAACTACACGAGGACAGTCGTTACATTACTACATTCAGTACACACATCGGTCTTTTCAGATACAAAAGGCTGAACTATGGCACCAATGCAGCTGCTGAGATTTTCCAGTACACTTTACAAACCCAATTGCAAGGATTACTCGGAGTAAAGAATATAGCTTATGACATTTTAGTATATGGCAAAACACAGAAAGAACATAACACAAACTTGAATAAATGTCTAAAACGAATCTCCGACAAAGGACTACGCTTGAACCAAGCTAAGTGTAGCTTCTTGAGTGACAAACTGGAATTTTTCGGACAAGTATTTTCCAAAGACGGCAGCAAACCTGACCCCAAACGTGTAGAAGCTTTAAAGAACGCGCCGGTACCCAAAACCATTTCTGAAGTAAGAAGTCTCCTCGGCATGGCAAACTACAGTGCCAAGTACATTCCGAAATTTGCAACCATTACAGCTCCATTGCGCCAATTAACGAAGAAAAATACACCTTTCGTGTGGACCGACATTCATCAGAACGCGTACAACACGTTAACTTCCACCTTAGCTTCAGCATCGTGCATGGCATATTTTGACAAAAATAAAGAGACACTGGTAACGGTTGATGCGAGTCCAGTCGGCATATCAGCAATCCTTTCGCAGAGAAACAAAGGAAAAGACGACGAGAAAGTAGTGGCATATGCGAGTAGAGCATTAACAGAAGTCGAACAAAGATACTCCCAAACCGAGAGAGAGGCGCTGGCTATTATTTGGGGAGTGGAATATTTTCATCTATACCTGTACGGAAACGAATTCGTTCTAATCACAGACCATAAACCACTAGAAGTAATCTACGGCAACAGAAACTCCAAAACATCAGCAAGAATAGAACGTTGGGTGTTACGCTTACAACCTTATGCTTTTCAAGTAAGATACAAGCCAGGAGCTAACAATCCGGCTGATTATCTATCGCGCCACCCAACAGGAAAAAGCTACAAACAGCAGAAAATAACAGAGAAGCACATAAACTTTATTGCTCGCTCCAGTGTTCCGAAAGCACTGACGATAGAGGAAATCGAAGAAGCAACGAACAAGGACAAAACCTCACGAGGAGTTCGGGCAGCTATAAAGCTCAACAAGTGGCACTATGAGGTAGTCAAGCCTTATAAACAAGTAAAAGACGAACTTACTGTGACAACAAAGGGCGTGGTTCTTCGTGGTTCTCGTATAGTGATACCAGAATCGCTACAGCAACGTGCGATTGACATTGCACACGAAACTCATCTTGGCATTACCAAAACGAAATCATTAATCCGAGAAAAGATTTGGTTTCCGAATATTGATAAAATGGTACAAGCAACAATCGAGAAGTGCATTCCTTGTCAAGCAGTGGGTAAAGCACCACCACAAGAACCAATATCAACGACAACAATGCCAAAGGGACCATGGGAAATGATACATTTGGATTTCTACGGACCACTTCCTTCAGGAGAATACCTTCTGGTCGCAATTGATCGCTATTCCAGATATCCCGAAGTGGAAGTAGTACGCTCGACAAAAGCTTCTGCGGTCATACCCAAATTAGATCAAATGTTCGCTCGTCATGGCATCCCAACAACTATCAAGACAGACAATGGACCGCCTTTCAATAGTGCAGAATATAATCGTTATTTGACAGCTCTTGGAATTAAAGATATCCATTCAACACCTAAATGGCCCCAGGGCAATGCCGAAGCGAAAAGATTCATGCAGCCCCTTAGAAAAACGCTACGAACCGCTCACATTGAAAGAAGACCCTGGCAGCAAGAGCTACATCGTTTCTTGTTACAGTACAGGACAGGACAACACCACACTCTTCCACGAAAGTTCCACCAGCGGAATTACTATTTAACCGTACAGTGAAAGGAAAGCTTCCAGAATTGAAAAAGCGGAACATTGTTAACAAACACAATATTGCTAAAAAGAATGAAATGGAGAGACAGCGATACAACAAAGAATATGCGAATGAAAAAAGAAACGTAAAAGAGAGTGAAATTATATAAGAGACTATATCTTAGTTCGTCAGAACAAGCAGAACAAATTGACTGCGAATTACAACAACGTTCCATTCGTAGTCACACACAGATCGCATTCACAGGTTAAAGCAAGAAGCAAGAACGGACACGTTATCACACGAAATGTGTCACAGTTTAAACGCATACCAAAGCCAAAGGATGATACGGACAGTGATGACGATAATGAGAGAAAACGTCATGAAAAGAGGAACAATACCATCACACTACCAGCAGCAACAAATGTTGGACATCAAGATCAAATACCGACACGACGATCCAGCCGAGTCAGAGGAAAACCTGATAGATTTGGACATTCAGTATATGATTGAATTATGTTTTGTTAAATGTTAATATTGTTAAAAAAAAGGGTGATGTAATATACATAACTGCTATTTATAGATAATTAAGCTTGGACAATAGAATTATAGAACTGATGGACAGTTAGGGACAGACAATAATATAGAAAATGTATGAGAGCGAGAAAAAGTCAGAGCACATGAAAAGTAGCTAATACAGGGTGTATCAAAAAAAAGGAGACCTTTAGAAATCAAGCTATTGTTAAAATTTGAATGCCTTTGCAAAATGATTGCATTTGCACATATGCTGAACCATAGTGCGTGAAATATTGATGGCATGCATGCATACATTAGAAAATGAGTTGACGTTTGTACACAAGATTGTCTGCTCCTGGGAATTTGAAAATAACTTTAATAGCATAAGGAAAAATAACGACCCAAAAATATTCAAATGACTAAGCAAACTACCAGTACAAAAATGGTTCAACTTATTTCAGAGCAAAGAGTTTTTGTAGTCTTAACTTATACCCAGCATGCCGTCATCAGAAAAGCAGTTCGCGATATGCACAAGCGTACGGAAGTTTG